CGAGGAATTAATAGAACTGCGAATATGTTAAAATTAAAATATGTATGGGAAAAAGGTAACTTGTATGAAGATATAAAAGCAGTGGTGACAAGTTGTATGAAATGCCACCTATGTGCACCGAAGTTACCTCTGGAGCCAATACATGTTACAGCAACAAGTTAGATATTCGAAAGAATCCATACTTCTATTCATCCAAATGCCGACGTCGTCTTGGTAAGCGGCTGCTATGTTTTTCCACCTTTCGCCTTCTAATAAACAGTCCATTAACCTTTGAAAGGTTTCGCTTGCGTTTTTTAATCCCATACACATTACTGTGTATTGTAATACACCAAGTGATGTGGCTATGGCAACTTTATCTCAATCCTCTTTCTTGATACCAATTTGCCAATAACCTTTAAATGCATCTACCGACGTATACCAGTTGTGGCCTGTTGCTTCTTCCAGAATGTCTCGGATTATTGGTAGTGGGTAACTATCTTTAATAATATACTTATTGAGCGGTTTCATATTACCAACTGCTCTTAGCTTGTCTGTCCCACCTTCCTTTTTTGAATGAGAAAGCAGTGGTAAGCGTACTCTCCTGACCCTTTTTCCAATAATCCGCATTCGATCATCTCTTTCAAGTAATTCTCAAATAGATTTCTTGTTTCAGGGTTATTTATTCTTATCAGACGGAGTCTCATAGATGGAACAATTGCGTCGCCAGTTCTGACTTTGTATTCGACAAGGTTTGTTTTACCAATATCTCTTAACTCATATGCAAAGACTTCTGGCACCCTTTTTATTAATTGATCAATTATCATTGTTCTTGTTGGCTCGTCACGTGCCTTAGGTCCCAAGTTTATTAGTGCACTATTATCTTTCGTAAGTCTTGATACAACAGGTATTTCTTTTCCTTTTATCGTACTGTCGTTCATTTCGTCATTTATATCCCAATAACTTACTCTTCCACAAAACGATAATCCATCTAGTTCTTCATACTTTACTAACTTAATTTCATGTATCCTCACGTTACTCTTGTTCTTTGCGTTATTCATAAATCTTTGTAATCTACTATTTTCATGTGAATTATATTTATTTATCTCTTCAAGTTCATCTACCTCTATCCTTCTTACAGCCATTATATCATCGACTTCATCATATTTACTTTCATCATCACTGTCGATTTTGTTCTCATAATCATTTTGTACTTCACCAATCCAGCTCTTAGGTACAGTCGATACGATAAAAGAAGCCGATCTAGTAGGTGATGAAATTGTATACCAATATTTGGTCCCTTTTCACCCTAAGGCGCATTGTATTCTCGCATTCCATGGCATACCTAATAGAATGTCGAAACTAGCCGTCTCTATCACGTAGAACCCTTGATTCACAACAACTCCTTCCATATCAACTTTAATGTTTGGTATGTATCCTACGAATTAACTGATTCTATTATCAGCCATTCTGCCTTTTCCATCAACTTGATTCCACACTAATCTCCTTTTAACCGCATACTTTTTCAGTATTAAGTTTATCCGTGAATCTGGATCAATAGGTGTTTTAACCATCTCACCATTGATCTTGACCGACTATACAGGTACAACTTCGTTCACATTTGATTTGTAATGTTGTATAACTCCACGTACTATTTTAATTTTTATATTTTGATCGTCGACGTTATCCCTTCTTTGTCATGTTAACGCTTTCATTATTTCCGGTCGAGCCTTTGGCGACCATTTAAATAACTGTCCCATTGTAAGTGTTATCTCCATTCCTGACACCTTTTTAAAAATGTCAAGTTCTTCAGAAAGCTCAGCAAACGGTATGTACATTACATTGTCATAGCATTTTGAGTTATAGCTGTTTTGCATCATCTCATCAACCTTTTCATTTTCATGTATTGCTTCTCGAATCTTTCCTTTTTTATTTAATGACACTGTTTTATTAATATCATTTTCTCTCTTTCTCTTACCAAACGCTCGTACGTCCCCACATTCATCTTCATTCGACAGTTCTATTTTTAAGTATTCATCATCCTTTTTGGAACTTGTTTCCGTGAATTCAATTAGTCATACATCTGCATTATTAAATATCACACTTTTATCATTCTGTCTAGAGCTCGAGCTGCGTTTCAGACAGTCTTTCACTATATGACCTTTTTGTTGACACAAGTAACATGTGCGAGG